ATACATTCGAGCCACAGCTTGGTAAAAGAGTATACATTCCCTTCGCATGACAGCTTTCAACCCCCCCCCGCCGCCGCCGCCGCCCGCCGTTGTGTGTGCCCCCTGCACTGCTGTATCATTCATAGGTGCTGGGNACTTCCGTTGGCCGGGCTGCCCGTTCTCCGAAGAACACCCACACCGGCAAGGAGGGTTACACGTCGCTGGTGGTGGAGTGCACGTGTGACCATTCTGGCCGCATCATCGCGGCAACCAAGACTTACCCGGGAGCCGAGAACGACAAGACGGTCATCGCACGGGACAAGTCCATCTGGCGAATATGAGATGAGGAGCCGTGGAAGAGCTAAAAGTTCAAGCTCTGACGGCACGGAGACGGAGTACACAGGGGCGTGGTTCATCGTGGACGCGGGGTACCCGAAGGTTAGTTTCGGTTGTCGGTTTTTAACCACTTTTTTGTTGTTGGTGTGGATGGGCGTGACTATAGCTTGGCCCGTACATTGTTGACATACCCCCGCCCACAGAAGCGTCATGTTTGTAAGTGCGAAAACCTCTGGCGAAACCCCGTCGCGTTCGGTCCTTGCTTTTTCTGTTGCTCCTGTCTCTTATACACATCTAGATGTGTATAAGAGACAGGNAGCGTCATGTTTGTAAGTGCGAAAACCTCTGGCGAAACCCCGTCGCGTTCGGTCCTTGCTTTTTCTGTTGCTCCGGTCATGGTGAGGAAACCGTGTGTATTATTCCCCTCCGGGATCAGTTCACACCCGCCAGACAAGAACGTTGCCGTACTCTACTTAGTACGTGTACCCGTACCACTTCGTGTTTTGCATTCCCGTCCATCCTGGCTGTTTGTTATTTTTGACTTGGGGAGGAGGTGGGAGCGTAAGTGTCTATTTAGTTGTCAAGGAATTATTTGTTGGCACGCCTTGCCCCTCTGCGCAGTCCTTGGAGACAGATCACATTTTTTCGACACAAGTTCGCATTAAACTAACACCCGATAGCCATTTTCGCTCTGCCGTATCATAGATCCCGCTTATGATTCCACCGATCTAGACGCACAACACCGTCGAAGAGCACGATTGGAGCAGGCGGTTGGAGAGCATGCGCAAGGACATCGAGTGTTGCTTCGGCAGAGTCAAGGGGCGCTGGAGGCTTTTCGGTGGTGACATCTTGTTTTCCACACGACAGAAGGTTGACAACACGTGGTTCACCGCGTGCATTCTCCACAACATGCTCCACAGCTTCAACCACCTCGACGAGATGGAGGAGGAAGCCGATTGGGTGGGGTCGGCAGGGAGGTTGGGGGAGGCGACGGCAGTGGCGGCGGCCATGGACGTGGACGAGGAAAGAGAGACTCCGACTCCCGGCTTCGAAGAGTTTCGCAGGAAGCTCATCGCGCACTTCACGTGCGCGTGGGAGAAGGAGATTTTGTGGTTTTAGAGGGCGGAGGTTTAGAATATACGTGGTACATATAGTCGGTAAGGTATGGGGGTGGGGAGTTGTTTTGGTTTTTTTGGCGTGTATGGGCGAACCCTAAAATATATCTTTGTGTTGTGTGTTTTCTTTTGGCGTGCGTCTGATAGGGTGAGGGCGTGATTGCATCTGTCACTAGTATTATCGGCATGTGGCGACCTTCTTTTGGTGTTGTGATGACGTTCGTTGTCCCGAGCTCCAGCGGTATCAGGGTAAGGGTAAGCGTTAGCTCCCGCGTGGTGTTTGATTTTGGGTTGGGGACACCCACCACGCCACCTGCGTCCCTCAGCATCGTTTGACGATCATTTTGCTGTCGCGCACATCAGTCACATAGTCGGACTTTTTTTTCCAACACAGCAGTTGGTTCTCACGGGGGCAGGCTGCCGTGCGTTACTTTTGTTCTTGTTTTATGTTGAACCACAGCCCAATATCCGCGAAGGTTCCCGACTTGCTGTTTTTCGTTCAGGCGGTCGTTGCTCTGTGTTTTGTCCTCCATGTAGATTTGGGCGCTCTTATTTTCCAACAGCTTTTCGTTCGATTTTCTGCCCATAATTCTGCCCTTCATGCTTTTGGACATTTCGGGTAGTTTTCCGAGGTTTGCTTTTGATCACGCTGATGAAACAGTGGATTGAGAGGGGGAGCGGCGCTCCTCGGATCGTTGTGCTCGCGGCACAAAGATTGAACAACTCGCTTTCAACCAAGTGGAGTCTGACACTGAAATTTGATATTGGAACTGCCTGTGGCATCCGGAAGCACAAACATGATGGCGTGGAAAGGGTACACCGTACGGTGCAGGACGGCAAAGCTATGTGCTTCACCGTAAATGATGACATCGCTCGAGCGGCCATATCGGCCCAGCTACACGTGTTTTTCGAGAAAAATGATTTTTTTCTGCCAATATCGCAGATACAGCGCGAATACCGCGTCGTTGCTACCTCACGTTGGTAGACGTCGAAGCTTCCCAGACCCAAATCTTAGCAACCACAATCACGTACGCTCCTGATGTTCCCAAATGGTAGACCTACGTATGAACCACCAGACAAGAGGCCTACGCCCTTCGAATCAGTAGTACAACACTTGTCATTCCAGTTGGCGCCCGCAGATAAGAAACGCTTATTTCAGGTCCAGCCTCGAATTTTTATTGTGGGCTATAAACTCAGCGGATGTCGTTCAGTTTCTTATTTCAAGTTTCTATTTTTTCGTGCAGCCAAATCCTGCTGAATTTCTTGAATCGGCAATTTCTTATTATTTCTCTGCTTGCATACTACACAACGTTCCAAATATACAAATGATTTGCACTGCTTTCCTCGACCCCCGTACTCAACCCCGATTCTCACTACCGACGGCTACACGTAAGGCCACTCCCTAGAAGCGAAATGTATCCAGCGGCAACGTCTCGCTATCGCTACAAGGTCCTGTACCCCCCTCATGAGTGAGGGCTGAAACTAAACAAATGCATCAACACCGCATGATGCCTCACCCGCACGCTGACGTGCCCAACAACGANTCAAAATATTTCTTAACTGCGGGCGCCAACTGTACTGCTGCGTATGCACATCCTCGAAAAGGCCATGCCCCCTCTCAAAAACGAGTATCTCCCGGCCATCCTTTACATGTCACGATGCACCCCCCTCTCACACTCGGCCTTTCGACTCGGTTGATCCTCTCAAACCTTGGACCCATGTTGTCTCCTCCCTGGCAGTTCCATGCCCAAAAGCGGTACCCCCCCACAACAANCCCTTCCCCCCTCCCTGCATGTTGGTCACGTGCGAAAGAGTTGGTATTCTATTGCCCCTTTTATTTTAAAAAAAAACACCGAGATAATGAATACACAACCGCCTTTCTTTGAACAACGATCACATGCCAACACGCAAGACAACCGTAATGGGATGACTAAAACTCGTTTAGCAAGAACTCGAGGCGGAGGAGTTTTTTTCCTCGAGGGCCTTGATCTTGTTCTCACGCTTGATGCCCACAGCCTCCGCCTCCTTGAGCTCGACCATCCTCTTCGTGCTCGCGCCAATGGACTCGACGTGTGTGTTCGCAGCCTCTAAGGCGGCCAGGCCCTTCTTCTTCGTCTCAAGGGCTTCTTTCCGGGCTTCTTGAAGTTCCTTGTCGGCCGCTGCTTTCCTCTCCTGCTCCTTCACTTGNACGCTTGATGCCCACAGCCTCCGCCTCCTTGAGCTCGACCATCCTCTTCGTGCTCGCGCCAATGGACTCGACGTGTGTGTTCGCAGCCTCTAAGGCGGCCAGGCCCTTCTTCTTCGTCTCAAGGGCTTCTTTCCGGGCTTCTTGAAGTTCCTTGTCGGCCGCTGCTTTCCTCTCCTGCTCCTTCACTTGCTTGATTGCGGCGAAGTGTTGGCGGCGGCTCAAAGCGTCGCCGTTGGGGTTGAGGCGAAACATCACCGCGGGGCTGCACACGGGGTTTTCAGGGTCCACGGTGACGTCCCCGCCCTTCCGCTTTTTAGACGGCCCGTCCGAAGAGTCGAGGTGCTTCCACTCCGACGGGGCCTGACCGCGCTGTACGCCGCTGTGAGAAGCAGGAAGGGGAAGAACCACCACTCAGGCACCTCCTCGCGCTCGTGCTCGCCCTCATCCCCGCCCTTATCCTGCTCTCGCTCCTGCTCCCGGCGGATGTTGGCGGAGGCAGTGGCGGCCAACGACATCGGCGTACTTCCCGGTTCCTGGCGGACCCCCGTCCCAGCCAACGCCGCTTGCGCCACCGGTCCCTGACCTGCAGGTGGACTCCCTGCTCTGTCAATGCTCTCCCCGGCGCCCGCCCCGGTAGCGGGGGAGCCGGCTGGGGAACCGGCTGGGGAGCCGGCGGCGTCGACGCTCCCCGCCGCCCCCCGAGAGAGGATTGCCGCAACCTCAGCGTCCCGCCTTGTCCGATCTAGCCTTGTCCCGCTTGTACATGTCCGACTCGAACCACATGACGTCGTTGAGCTCCTCTAGGGAGTCCTGAGTGTTGGTCCCAGACGGCAGCTCAGACGGTGTGTTCTTGTCGTTCCTGACACAAAAAAAAAGGCACAGGGAACAAAACGGATTCGCGGTGAGCGGTTACGTAATTATAATGCACCGCGGAGCGAGCGGAGCGAGAGAAGCGAGCGACATTTTTTCCCTTCGTTCCCAGGAGGGGGAAAAAGGCTCTATATATCGGCCAAAGTTGCGCCACACGATACAGGGCCCCCAAAACTTGATTACGGTGAAGCCGAAATATCACACCTTTGGAATCATCACGACATCTACAGGGCACCGATTGACGAGCTGTTCGCTTCTGATGAACAAGAAAAATAG